TTTAAAAAAAAAAAAAAAAAAAAAAAAAAAAAAAAAAAAAAAAAAAAAAAACAAGGAATTGTTGTCAATGATGAGAAAAAGTGAAGAGTCAGAGCAAGCGAAAAACTTGGAAGTGAGGAGATGGTCGACTGCATGTGCGCGCGTATAGAGGCAATTGGCCAGATATTTGTTGGAGACTAGCCGAAATTAGTCATCTCGGCCTTGGGGCCATTCAAGCCTTTTCGTTGCCATGAATTATACGCAGAAGGGAAAACTCATCTGGCTATTTTATTATTTTTGATGTTCAAGTCCTCGTGGCTTACTAGAGGAGCGACAAGTAAGTGATCATAATTTTTCACAGGTGACTTGATGGACGAGCAAAATGTGTTGGAATTTTTGACGAGCTTGGAAGCAATGGACTTGCCCGATCGAATCGAAGAAGTCAATGCGAAAATTCTCAGTAAAATTGTCGAGGACTCGGACTTTGTTGCTGTTCTCTTTTGTAAGTTATTTACTACCAATCAACCGATCCACTCAAATCGAATACTGTTATCAATTTTAATTCTTTGATATAATTATGTATTATTCGTACTAAAGGTTAAGCTGTTGTACATACTTTTTCAAAAAATCTGACCTCTTTCACTCACTTTACCATATCTGTTTTTGTATATTTTTCTTTTCGTGTTATTAAACTCTTTGCTGTACAAATAATTACACATACTCACTCTCTAATCTATGCAAAAAATTTTCACGTTTGTCATGATTTACAAAAAGCTTGTTACAAATTACGCGAACGCAAAGTCAAAGATCAACGCTCATTCCAACGTATGCTATATCGATACGTATAAAATCTTTATTGCATAAGTTTGCGTTGGGCATGAATTACTTTGGCTCGTCGTGAAAAATGCTTCATCTTTGAATGGACGACTGCTGGTGGAAAAGACAAAAAAAAATAGTTCAAGGTGTCAGCAAGGAATAAAGAAAAAGCATTTTTGAATGAAGTTGTGTGTAATTTTCCGATGAAATTGCTACACATGCACACAAACATAGTCACAAACGTACTTTACACACAAACTTGTAAATAATACATACATGTGAACTGTTTTTTCTTGTGTGCGCCAATGTGGATGTTAGGTCCAGAATCGGAGAGATGCGCTGGCACCGATTTTAGTAAGTATATTTCATAAGGAACATTGTTTACGTTTGGTATAGTAGCATTCCATCATAAACTCTATTATATCTCATCGTATTGTATATACATAAACACAAAAATAAAACTATCATGTTTTTATGTGTAAGTTTTCAATATGCTTAGTACGTAGAAGAACAAAAAAAAACATTTTTTTCACGCCACTTACTTTCTTCCCATGTTAATGTACATAAATGTATGATGCACGTATGTTTGTGTGTATATTTCGTCAATTTCACTCATTGTGCAATTAAAAATTGACGGCAGAGTAATAAAAATTATTCATAACGTAACAGTCATGGTAACTATAGTCGTAACAAATCAATGAAGCTTACACGCTCTCGATAACGCGAATAACAAATGCGAAAATTACTAAAAACGATGCATACTAACTTTTGCTTACGATTACAATAAAACTAGAATAAAATCTATCTGTTTGCATATTAACATGTGTTTCCTCTGCGAGGCGTTTACTATTACAATAAATCGGTAAGGGTGGATTGAAATTATGGACTAGGCTGACGTGTCTATAAGCGTGTATGTTCCGATGATAGCTAACATGAGTCACAGTTTTGTTATGTGTTTGTTTGAAATGGGACAGACAAGCCGGAATGTAAAAAGTGCGCCAGAGCACTCCAGGAGTTGGAGAATATCGACGACGAGGCCGATCAGCTGGGCATCGGGTTCGTCAAGATCGCGGACGAACGACTCGCCGAGGAGTACAATCTCGGACCACTTCCCGTTTTGGTCTACTACAGGCACCAAATTCCCATCGTCTATGAGCGTGAGTTTACAATTTACGACAATTATTATCCACACGCGCGTTGATCCAATGGCTCGTTAAAACGCAAAAAATGCCTAAAATGCAGACGAACTGAGCAGAGAGGAAGACGTGCTCGAGTGGCTCGTGGCGAATAAGAGCACTGGCGACGAGGAGGACGTCATCGAGGACGTGACCGCCAAAACACTCGGCACTTTGATCGGCAGCATCGACAATCTCGTCGTTCTCTTCTGTTCGTATCAAATTTCAATCTTTCAGCTTAAACCATACGTGTGCTAAGATGAATGTCCCAATGATCGATCATTGTTCTTTATATTTTTAATGTGCATTTTTTTCAAAAATGAACGAATTTTCATTGGGGCACGAAAAAAGTCACTTTTTTGATAGAACCCCACCTCGTTATTTATTGAAAATATACCTGAGGCCTGTATAAAGGGAAAAACAAAGGGACCGATAATTGGGACATTCGCTACCTAAAAAAAAAAAAAAAAACCCAACGCCACGGGTGCGATGAAATTAATAGTACCGATCAACTTTATCGCAGACGATCACGGAGACGAGGATTCCCAGCAGGTGCTCACGGAACTGGAAAAAATAGACGACGATTGTGACAAGCATGGCATTCAGTTCGTGAAAATTGATGATAGAAAAGCTGCCAAGGAATTTGGCATTGACTCCATCCCAGCGATCGTATACTTTGAAAAACAGCTTCCCAACGTTTACGACGGTAATAAATTACTCTTCGACGCGCATTATTTACCACCTCGTGCAAATCGTCAGCTCGTCTATTGTGAGATATTTTTTCAATTCGATTAGGTGATCTCCAAAACGAGGACGAAATATTGGAGTGGCTGCTATCGCAACTGGAACGAGATGAGATCGAGGACGTGACCGACGAAATGCTGGACAGGCTAATCAAGGAGGGAAAAACTTTGGCTGTGCTTTTCTGTATGCGACAATTTAATACGTTATCCTTTGTAACTGCGATAAAAAGGTTTGGATTTAACCACCGATTCGATTGCCGGGCAGATGACAACAACGACCGAAAGTCACAGCGGGTCCTGAACGAGCTCGAAAACATAGACGACGAGTGCGACGGTTTGGGAATAATCTTCGTCAAAATCGACAACGCCGAGGAGGCCAAGGAATACGGCATCGACAAGATTCCGAGCTTACTGTACTTTGAGAAAGGCATTCCGACGCTCTTCGAGGGAAATCTCGAGGACGAGGAAAAGGTACTCAAGTGGCTCGACAGCCAATCCAAGAGTGACCACATAGAAGACGTCACCGACGAAATGCTGGACATGGTCATCGATAAAATGCCTCTCGTCGCTGTTTTATTCTGTCGGTAGCATTTGATTAACGCGTGTTTCGTTCTCACGACAATTTATACTTGATCGTTACATCGGAATTCTACGTAATTCGTCATTTTTATGATAAACATGTTTTCTTTTTTCTTTTCTATACGTCCAGACGATAAGGATCAGAAAAAAAGCTCCAAAGTGTTGGCCGAACTTGAAAATATTGATGACGACTGTGACGAGCACAACATAGCCTTCGTTAAAATTGACGATGCCGAGGAAGCAAAGGAATACGGGATCGACGAGCTTCCCACCCTCGTGCTCTTTGAGAAAAAAATACCCCACATTTACGACGGTACGGTGTACAATTTACTTTGTTGATCCTTTGCATGTTACCGTGGAACTTTCGATGAATCTCATCTTTTTTTTCTTCTTCAATAGGTGACCTCATGAACGAAGATCAGCTCTTGGGTTGGCTTCTCCACCAAAAGAAACATAGCGAAATACCCGAGGTCACGGACGAAATGATGGAAAAGCTCATCGAAACAACACCGTATCTTGCCGTTTTATTTTGTACGTCATATACTTACCGTGTAATATACGTAGATATTATATGTATCCATTTTACATCTCATGATTGATTTTAATAGACGATAAAGATGACAAACAAGACATGAGGATATTAAATGAGTTGGAAAACATTGACGACGAGCTATCGAAAGAGGGTATAGTGATCATTCGCATGGACAATGACGCCGAGGCGAAAGAGTACGGGATCGATCACCTTCCGACTCTCGTTTATTTCGAGGACAAAATTCCGGCTCTCTACGAAGGCGATCTCCTCAATGAAGACGAAGTCCTCAAGTGGCTGATTGAACAGAAAAATACCGCTACCATCGAGGAAGTTACGGACGAAATTCTTGCCGATCTTATCGACGAGCACGAATACGTCGTCGTATACTTCAGTAAGTTTTTTTTTTTTTTTTTTTTTCAAAACTCTAGGCTTACTTGTTGTAGTTATTTATAGATATTTTGAGCATATGCATTAATTTACAGCAATACGAATAAATCAGTCAAGGCATAAAAATTAGTTTATTTTTTTGAAAAAAATAATAATTTGTGTTTGTTTGACGATACATCGAACAAAGTATTATACAATGTTTAATATAATACCATTGAGTATTTACAACAACTATTACTCATGAATGTACAAAAAAAGGTTCGAACAACGTGTCTGGACATATTTACACTCCATGAACAAGCTATTTGACTAATAAATGTTGGCACATATTTTGTCATTTCGTAATTAGTCTTGCGTTATTAACGAGGACATGCATTACTTGGTTGTCAGCACTACCGATATATATATGTTGCGTATCACATTTAATAAAAATTCTATAAAATACATCGAATGGCATTGATTAAATTTTGCGTCACCATATTGTGCAGTCGATTGTAGATAAAACAATGGTAACGGGAGTACTAGTGATTTATTTTTTTTTTTTAATTTCAGACGCTAGAAGTTGTACGACCTGTGATAAAGTGTTGGCTGAATTGGAAAAAATCGACGATGACACGGATAATTTCGGCGTGGACTTTGTCAAAATCAACGACAAAAGATTGGCTAAGCAGTACGGGATCAAGACCTTCCCCGCGCTCACTTACTTCCGCGAAAAGGAACCAATCATATACGAGGGTAAGTAAAATTATCAGAGAAAATTAATGAAACAAAAAAAAAAAAAAAAAAAAAAAAAAAAAAAAAAAAAAAAAAAAAAANGAAATCTCGGCGAAAAAAGAATAATGTTTCAGTTGATTTTACATGTATTTTTTTTTTTTTTTTTTTTTTGTCTTCTTTCAGATAAGGAAGGAGATAAAAAAAGCCAGAAGATCCTCCAAGAGCTTGAAAATATTGACGAGGAATGCGAAGAGAAGAACATTGACTTCGTAAAGATCTCGGACGAAGGGATCGAGAAAGAATACGATCTCCCAAGTTTGCCAGCTCTCGCCTTTTATCGGCACAAATTTCGACAAATTTATACAGGTGATCTGATGCACGAAGAAGAAATTTTGGACTGGCTACTTGAACTGCGCACTTCAAAGCCCGATGTTATTGAAAATGTCGACAGAAAAACTCTGCAAGTTCTCATTAACGATGTCGAGCATTTGGCTGTATTTTTCTGTAAGCAATTAGTTTTTTTTTTTTTTTTTTTTCATTGTGTGTTTCTCATTCATGGTTATTGTTTTTTACTTTTTAATTAATTTCACGGTAAATTAAAAAATTGTTTTGGTTCCACTAGATGACGATGATTGTGAATCGTGCAAAGAAATTTTAGAAGACCTCGAAACCATAGATGACGATACGGACAAACATGGTATCCAGTTTGTTAAATCGAAAGATGCAAAGCTTGCCGCTGAAATCGGTATATTCTCTTTTCCGGCACTCGTATACTACGAAACGGGAGTACCCATCATGTACGACGGTAAGACGAATCAAATACGTATATTTTATCAATAAGTAAAAAGATTTTTAAATATTAATATATTATTTAATTTTTTTTTTTTTTGCACATAAATAAATTTTCTGCAATTTTAATATTACCTGTATCTTTGTGATGAAATTTTAATTATCAATCAACGAGTTTTGTTTCAAACATTGATTATGGTTCATTTGGATATAAAGGAGATAAAAATTTTTATAATTTTAAACTATTAGAGGCCAAGTGTCTCCAATGTGTAAAAGCAAAATTTGCAGATACAACATGAAAAAAGAAGCGAAACGTAAGAACCAGATTTTCAACCTCATGTACCATGTGTAACTTTTGTAGGTAATCTTAAGAAAGAAGACCAAGTTCTGGAATGGCTAATCGAACAGAAAAGTAAGGAGATTTGTAGAATGATGATTATTATCACTGGTGTACTGTTCGTTGTGACTCTAATCTCAATCGTGGCGATACCACCAGATTATAATTACCAAACCCGGGCGATTGTAATAACTCCGGTTACGTTACCACCACCGCGTTCACCGTAAATTTTTATCACAACACATATCCTTTTTTTTTTTTTTTTTTTCTCCTTTGATGTCGACTCCACTACTCGTAACTGTAACTTATACGAGTCATAATTTTTTTAAATCAATGTTTTTTTGTTATGTTATTTGTTATTGTACAAGTATAATCAATAATCTAACTCCTCAAACCAAACTTAAAAATCCATTGATTCTACGTGGAACAGTAAATACTTTTTTTTTTATTATTTATGCTCATACTCGCATTTTTTGTATAAATTTCTGAATTTTTTGTTAACAAAATTTTGCGTTTGAAACCTTGCGTTAATAATTAATTCCTGATACTTTCGCAACAACTATTTAAATTTCTTCTGATGAGTTTTATGCAAATGGCATAGTAGATTTATTAATTTTTTTAAAAATATGTATTTACTATCAAAGCGATAATGCTTTGCTTTAGATAACTCTAACTATAAGCTCGTAAACTTGTAACTGAAAGCGTTTGATCTACTTACCCCAATTCTTGTTTAACTTTTTTTTTTAATTATTTGCTTCTTCTTGTACCTATTTTTTCTCAGCACTCTACATCTAAATACGTTACCGTATCGACTTTTTAATTGATCAGTTTAATACACAAATTCTCACAACGTGAAGTTACCTATACTATTTTTAGAAATTACGGTAAACAGTTTATCAATGATCGATGAAACATAATTTATGGATGCAATATTGATGTATCACACGATTTTATGCATTAGAGAAAAAACGAATTTATTATTATAATTTTGGGGGATAATCATATCTGAAATTCATACTGTCCATATACAGGTAGTGATGGTGATAGTGATGATAATAATAATGATGGTGATAATGATAAGGATGAGAAGGGTAAAAAGTACGATTATCGTATTTTAAAAAAAAATAAGAACTCAGTTCAAAAGAACAAAAAAATTGTTAATGAGCGTTTAACGAGGAAAAAAGTTCAAAACCTTCATATAAAAAAGGATAACAATAAGCGTAAAAGTGGCAAAGACGATGAAAACGAGGATAGCAATGAAACAAATGAAGATGAAGACGATGCTGTGGACAATACTAATGATAAAAATAAGAAGAAGCTATGTGATGACGATAATTCTGATTCTGAATGTGACGAAGACGAAGATGATGAAAATGATGATGATCATGACAAGGAAGATAAGAATAATGATGATGATGAAGATGATGATGATGATGAAGATGATGATGATGAAGATGATGATGATGATGGTGATGGTGATGATGATGATGATGATGTTGATGATGATGTTGATGACAACGACGACGATGATGATGATGATGATGATGATGATGATGATGATGATGATGATGAGGAGGAGGAGGATGAAGATGATGACGACAGTGACAAAGATGATGAGAATAAGAGCGTTGAAGAAGAGGATGATAGTTTATCAAAATCATCAAGTAGAGCCATAAAGCAATTCGTAGGCAAAGGTAAAACGGGCAGAGCGCTTTCGGCAGGCAAGAAAAGGATCATGTGAGACCGTAGTGTGAAATGGACATTTTGGGTGTTTGTAAAATCGAACGCGAGAATGTTTTTTTAAGTTTTTATGTATTTGTATGACTTTTATTATTGAGTAGAAAGTAGATGATGTCCATGACTTGGCATTTTGCAGCTCATAGTAGGCGCACACACAATCCTGCTCAAAAGACTGTAGACTTATTTGGTCATTTTAGCCAGTGTAGTTTGCTAATTAAAATGCGCACGATCGTAAAACTCGTTCGTTTCAATGAACAACGTGAAACAAAACAAAAATCGATTTCAAAACATGCTATAATAGTATATTAGGCGGTTTAACCGGAAAATCTCATATTGGTATAACAATGACAAACTTGACAATGAGTGTTTTGTGCACGAAAAAATTGTTTACTTTTTCGTTTCCCTTACTAATATCAATTGTATTATTTATAAATTCAACAACATGAGCTACAAATACTCATTGAAACGAATATTATTTGATAATGAACACTGGTTGTACATGTACTTTGTTACCTACATTAAAATAACTATTGTTACTTGTGACACTCGCATGTAAAATCCTTAACTTACTGCGTTCAACTTTATAAATAATATCTACACTTGAATTAATCAATAATGGTAATAATAATAATAATAATGATAATAATAATAATAAAAATAAGTAGTAAGGTAAAATACAAACTATCACTGAATATCGTTGGAATATAAACTTTCTTCGTGCGAGCTGATGAATTTTATGTTGAATTACGTATTATTTGTTTCTTACAGCCTGTCGCCTGTAGTTTGCTTTATATATCATGTTTGTAGTGTAAAATAGTCACGTCATTTTAAACGATAAGTTTCAACGATCATACGAAGCCAAAAATCACACGCTCACGTCCACATAATTGTAATAACAAAGTCATCCCAAGACATTTTCTCACCATTTCTAGTATTTATTTTGTTGTAAAAAATTATCTGATGCCTTCTTAAATAACATTTATTTAAATGTTTGATGATACTTGTTTCATACTCACAAAGCACTCAAACACGTGTAGTTTAAAATCGTTTTACATTCTTGAAATATCCATTGAATATTAAAAATCATTTGAGTGTTTTTTTTTTAAACAAACAATGATTTTATTTTATTTTTTGAAATTTATATTATTTTCTAAATATTTGATAAATCGATCATTTCGATATTTTAATGTTTTTAGTTAGTTATAATAAATCATTTTTGTTGGGGGAGACTCATCATCTTGCTAGATCTATATGTAAACCGTGAATTTTTTTGACTTTAAAAAGGATAAAAAAAATGATAGAAAAATAAATAGTTACTGGTTGGATAAAAACGATAATTAGAGAATTATTTATAATTGATCTGATAAAAACGCGCTCCTTATTACTTGCATGATGAGCTTTTAGTGTTCGGATCAATTTGAACTGTAGTGAAGCATCTCTGTCTGCCACTAACACAGCTTTTAACTTTTGTATGTTTTTAATCACTCGCATTTTAAGTTGTCTTATCAAATTTCATTTACTACACCTAACTGTATCACATTTATTAATTTATTAAATTTTTTTTGTTTACTCACAATTTTTTTTAAGATAAAAAAAAAAAAATATCATTATGTTCATATGTTTGGTGTGGCAAAAAGTTATGAGCATATTGATAAACTTTTAGTTGCAAACGAAATTATAATCTACTAAAATTCATGGTATTGCAGAAACGAATATGAAAGCAGCACAATTTCTGCTAATGCATTATTCTTGCTTCAAGTATTTTCTCGACTTGATTTTATGAATTTTATTTTCTTCAATACAAACAATAATAATCCTTGATAAGCACAACTTCGTACTGCACTGCTTTGGCCGATGCTTGTTAAAAATAACAAAAAAAACAAGGATGATTACGATATTAATGATAATGAAAATAATAATAATAATTAAAATAATGACCATAATGAGAGTTATAATGATTATAAAAATAAAAATACGAATGATGATAAGGATAAGAGTAATACGTATTATAATGATAAAAATGATGATACTAATAATGATGATAAATTTGCTTATTCTTATAAAGATAATAATGAGGTTAAACATGGTGACAATAAAACTAATAATAATAATAATNGGTCGGATCGCAGTGATAACGAATCCCGATTTTAATTGGCAAAAAGTAAAAACAACAACACGAAAATGAAAATCCCTTCAACGCGGTTTAAAAAAAAAAAAAAAAAAAAAAAGTAATGATTAATTTTCAAAGCAAAGTGTGTACATAATGTTTATTAAAAAAAATTAATTTTAATTACATTGTACTGAAACTGCGTATTTTCGACTCTCAGTCATATTTTCTTTTTTAAATTACACTAAGTTATGATTAATAGTAAAAAATATAAACCTGAAATATACATTTTAAAAGACAAATGGTCTCATTAAAAAAAACTGATATACTTGTATTCGACTAAAAAGACTATACGACACATTACATAATATACACAAGAGGAACAAATCACTACATCAAACCATGTAAAATCAAATCTACGCAAAAAAAAAAAAAAATAAAGAAACGTATTTCCTTGTACAGAAAATTAAAGTCTACATTGTTATTATTATTGTCATTAACAATAACAATTAGGAATAATTAGTAATGTAAGCCAAGCCGAGCAAAGCGATGCACAACTTTCGTATATTTTTTTTGCAATTTAGCAAGTACAACTATATAGTTTGCGATGAATGTGTGATGCGTTACAGGGTTAGTAGAACAAAAATTCGAAAACAAACAGAAAAAAAACAAAAGTAAAAAGTTTGCAAACATTAGGTTTCGTTTGAAGCGGCGCGCAGTCACCGTAATAAGATACACTTTGTTTTTTTTCATTCTTAAAAAAATGCGCGCTTCGCTTGCCTTGACTTTCTGCAAATTGATGCAATCAAGGTGCACTTATGATGTTAAATTT